CAGCAAAGTGTCCAAGCTGCAGAGCTCAATCGATTGCAATCCAGCTGTTAGGAAAAGAGTTTTTCATGTTTCTTTATAAATCTTTAGAAACCTAAACTTGTATATGAGAAATTGTAAAGCGATTTAGGTTTTGATGGATAGCCAGGTAGGGCAATGAGCCCTCCCCAAAAGACACAGTCTGGATATTATTAGGAGAGAGAGCCTAAATTGGCACATGAGAAGTTGTTAAGTATTAGGGTTAGATGGATATCCAAGCCCTCCCCAAAAGACACAACCTGGATATTAGGAAAGACATCTTACATAAGTATGATAAGATCGGCTGCCTATCACTTCTTCTTCAGCAGAAAGGTCATCCATAAACTGGCTTACTGATATTGGAACATAGCTTTGGGGAATAACATGTCCAGCTGCTGCAATTGGAGAACAGTCCAATATAGCATTGCCCTGTGGCATGAGCCTAAACGCAAAAGATGTCCTACAATCACAAAGCTCAAAAAGAACCCAAAATAAATTGCTTGAAATTTCATTTTATAACAATCATATTTTTATTAAAAAAATTTCATATATCAAAACAAGAAGAAAAGCATTAAAAAAATATATTCTCAACCTTCCTCCGTTGTTAGAGCCTAGAAAATAATCAGGAGAAGCTCTATATGATGCGGCAGGACGAAGCCCTGCAGTGGCTTGGCTAAGTGCCTTGCCTGTGAGCAACAAAAGTTCCCCTGGACCAGATCCACAATCTGCCAGATACCAGCGGCCATTGGGGTCACAAACCTAAAGAAAAATATAGAATATTTAGTGGTTATTCAACTGACAGCACATGACTCGATGAACTAGAAGAGACAGGCAGGTTATTCTTTTAAGGTGAGACAAACACGCCTGAACTCTCAGCTTCTACATCAAATACATTAAGAATTAAAAAAAAAAAAAAAAAAGATACCTGAAGACCAGGAGCGTCTGAAGATATCAATGTCAACAAACCCTTCTCAATTTCACCATTAAGGGTTGGCTTACCGCCTCCAATAGCACCTTTTCCATTTGGCAAGGAAGCGTGTGAGTAGGTTGCAACAAGAACTGATGAGGACACCTCATTAGCAGGCAATGGGGTATCATCAAGCAAATGGTTAAAAACACTGCACCAAGTAAATATTTGTGAATACAAGATTAAAATATATTATACTTATGCAATACGTGTAAACTAGAAAGAAGATCCACAATCAACATCCTTACTCGCTTCGAAGACGAAGATGCCTTGCAATGGCACACAAAGTAGAACGAGCTGCCTTTCCCATGCACCTAAAAATATCAGTCATGCATGGGGGGGATGAATCCCAGTCTTCCAAAGCCCTAAAACAGATAGGGCAGAAATATTATAGAAGCGATAATAGCAATGACAGGAAACATCATCCAGCCCAAATTAAAGATGTCGAAGCCTTCAAATGAAGTTTAAACAATCAGAAACTTGCCGCTCCCTTCCCCGCTCCGCCATGAAATAAACAAAGAAAAAGAAAAAAAATCTAGTTCCAAAACAACAAAGGTGTTACCTGTTTCAGATAAAGATGCATGTAAAGATAAAAATATGTAAAACATAAGCATAACTCAGGGACAGTAAAACACTAGTGATCAAGGTATAAAGCGAGCAATAAAAACGGTTTACAGGTGGGATAAGTTTCAATTAAAATAAGCGATGCAATTCTGCTTTCGGGTACATAAGAAAAATTATAAGAATGCACTAAGATGAGTCCAATGAATTGAATGCATCTACCAAGCAATACGCCAATGTTTCAGGTCCTATCAACCGAGTGCATTATAATTATAGCCAAAATAAGAAAGAAAGAAAGAAGAGCAGAGCATGACGAATTTGGTACTCATATTAACAGAGAATCATGTGAGCCCATAGCCCCCATACCTTCCTGCCCTGTACATGTGAACCCCACGGCTTCCCTTCCCACCACCCAGATGGGCCCTGCTCCGAAAAAACAGTCTCGAACCTTCCAATCCACATCTCATCAGAGCAGTATCCTCGCTGCCCAATTCGATCAAGGCAGCATTATGCCTCATCAAAGACCCTGACAGTGCTTCCACTGCTCTGACATAGGACCCACATGGAGCTCCGTCGTATTGGGCAATATCCGAGAGTCGGACTCTAGGCAACGGGCAGGCAGGCGGCGCTGTCAAAGCCGGCTCAGCAGCAGGGTGCGTGGCGGAGATGGGCACCACTGGTCCAATAACATGATCGGGTGGCAGCGATGGCAGATGCGTTTGGCGGAGGGGAGCAGAGAGAGGGGCGACAAGAGGGAGTGAGGAAGATAACTGGGACTGGGGTAGAGGTGTTGCAGAAGGCGGCGACCTAAGGGAGGAGGTGGTGGTGGCCGAGGAGGACTGAGGATCGTTGTTGAGCTGTGGCACCAGTGCAGATGGATTCTGCTGCTGCTGCATGATCACCACCATCTATCATTCTGAACAGTCTTTGAGAATTAGGGGTTAGTGCTTATGAACATTCATCACCTAGATGGTTTAGTTAGGGTTTTGCGGGGATCATTTCTGGGGAGCTTTGAGGCTGCTTCAGTTATACAGTGGCGGAAGACTTGGCTCGTTAAGTGGCAGTGATTTTGAGCCATTTTTTTAACTCTCAGCTACTCCAGGGGGCTTGAGGTTTCGGTGGGAAATCCATGGGGTTCCGTTGCGGTCCGGATGGCACCCATTTAACTGTTTTTTTCAGCGTTTATCACTTTCCCGTCAAGCCAACATCGACTCATGAATTGGAATGAACGTAAATAGGAAAATTTGTGATAAATCCCGTTAAAGAATTAATTGGTAAATGGTAATAGATTGTACAAGAGAATAAGTTGCCCCAAAGAAATATGATCTGTACAGAACATTATAAGAACTCATTTACACAAAGAAGAGAGCATGCAAGAAAAATTTGCCTGAAGGAAAGATAATGCAAAATGAAATATAATTCCACAAAAAAAAATTATAAAAAAAGTTAAGTTGTATAAATTTTTAAACAAATAATGAAAAAGGGAAATAATGAATTACTATACCATTAATAAGCCAAGAATTATCTTCTATGCTTCAAAATAAATTTTTACGGAAAGTTTTACACAAATATATATAAATTGGGAGATAAAAGTTCTCAATTATAATTTAATAAATCTTAAGAAGAGTGACAATATTTTTCATCAAAAAAAGGCAGAAAAAGACGAGGAAAGTACTGTGCGTCTGTGTGTGTTATCACCCGGATGCAACTTGAAATTAAATCAATAATCCACCAAAAAAAATCAATAAATATCAACTGTTAAACAAAGTCAAAAGTAGTAATACTTGGTCAATTTGACGTAAAAAAGCCAGTCAATTATCTATATATTTTCACATTGATACTTTAAAATTTATTATGCAATTGTTAATCTTTTTATATTCTTAGACTTTTTGTTTCGCTCCTTAAACTTCCTAAATTTACTAATCTACAAGTCCTTATAGTTTTAACTAATTTTGAATCAGGTCCCTATAGTTTTTTTTCTTTTTATCAGGTCCTTATACTTTTATCTGTTTTTAATTAGGTCATTGCATTTTTTTTTGTTTTTATCAAATCCTTAAAAGTTCACCTTATTTTTAATTAAGTCCCTGAATTTTTTATTTTTTAAATTCTAATAGTATTATTCTATAAATATAAAATAGTATATATTATTTAATTTTAATTTATAAAAAATAATATTCTAAAAATAATAAATTATTATAATAATTTTATTTTTTTCAGCAAAAAAAGAATTGTTCTAAAAAATTTTCCTGAATTAATTAATTATATTACTTATTTTTATTATGTAATTATTAATTTATTTTAATTATTAATATTTTATATTTCAGTATTAATCTATTTAATTAAATTTATATTTAATTAACAAATAAAAATTAAAAATATTTAATTAACAAATAAAAATTAAAACTACACGGACCTTATTAAAAATTTAGTGAAATTATAAGGATTTAATAAAAAGAAAAATAAATGCGATAATCTAATTAAAAACAGGTAAAAGTATAAGGATCTGATAAAAAGAAAAAACTATAAAGACCTAATTCAAAATTGGTTAAAACTATAAGGATTTATAAATTAATTACCCCTTTACTAAAAGTATTTAATTAGTAAACATTAAACAAACTGCAAGAAATTTAAAAATTTAGTATGTAAAGTTTTTTAAATTAAAAGAAAGACTTTTAAAATTCTTTTAGAATTTTTTATAATATTTTAGAATATTTTTTAACGAAGTTAATAGTTTGAACTAAAATGTATATATTAATTATTAATATAAAAATTAGATAATTAATTTATAAATATTAAAAAAAGATAGATTAGTTATTTATAATAAATATATTTTAATTTTTTAAAAAGATTAATGTGTAAATTTATTCTAAAAATTTTTATTCAGAAAAGTATTAATTAAAAAGAAAGTAGTTATATAAAAATAGAGTCTACCTATCTAGTTATATAAAAGAAAATCTGTTTATATCTTTTTAGAACAGAGTAGATGTGTAGAAGGGCAGTCACAATCTTATAAGAATTAAAAATTTTAAAAAATTAAAGAAATAAAATTATTTTAAATAAATATTAGAAATTCAATCATCCATTGAAAAAAAAATTGAGGACAAAGTTGCGTCTTCTTTTATTTCAAGTTAAAAAGTAAAAGTTGACAAAAAAAAAAAAGGAATTCTTGGTCATAAAAGAGAGCGAAATTAAAAAGGGAAATTGAATGACAAAAAAATGTGAAAAAAATCCAAAAGAATAATTTTTAAAATTTTAAAATTCTAAATTAATCTTATTTATTACATTTCGATAACAAATTAGTAATTAACCTATGCTTAAAAAGATATCAACACATTTTTATAATAATTCTGATTTACAATTTTAAAATTTAAGAGTTTTTTTTTGTTTTTTAAAAAAATATTGAAAACGAGGGAAAAATTATCATAAAAATGAGAAAGAAAATCGGGAAAGGGAAAACGAGAATTCCAAACCAAAAGCGTGGTAGTTCCTAGCCTTGTTGCTGGTGTCTTCGATCTCTTCTCCGCGTCCGGGTAAGTACTTCGATTTCATTTCCGCCCTTTCCTAATGGATCTTCAGGCCTTTCTTTGCGTCCTTGCTTCATCTTACTCTGTGCAATTTGTTGGTGACTTGTGGCCCTTTTCTCATTTCGCGTTAATATTTTGCTCTCCCGTCTCCTGTGTTCTTAATTTGTACGGGGAGACAGATATTGCTTGGCCTTCGAGGCTATTCCTGTTGTTATCTTCAATGTGCTGTGGATTGAAAGGCTCGATTCCGTTCAACCGTATCCGATGTTGGCCTTTAATCTATTTAATTTAATCCTTTGTGCCCACTTGTCATGTTGAGTAGCTAAATACTTGAGGTTTGCCCCAAAAACAAATCGCTTAGAGAATGTGGCTTGGGTGTGTGATTTCGAACCTCACTGCCCCATATCTTTTTTGGTTTTCCCCTTTAAATTGAAAAGGTTTATTCACGACAGTGTAATCTCATTTCGTAAACTCGAATTGCAAGGTCTTGGTAAAAAGATGAGTGGAATACATTGTTATGTCTTTATGATGCTATTGATTTACTAAAGCATGTGAAGTTGAATGACATATACAAAACTTAAGGGGGTTATTATAAACTGGCTGTAGCGTTATACTAAAGCATCCGAGATTTTAACTAGAGTAAAGGTGCATCCAGCACTCTGATTTTATTTTTTAAGTGCACCGAGCCCTTTGATCTTTTATGTGGTGCAATTTTAGCCTTCATGATTTAACTTTGGTGCAATTTTCCTCAACCCTAACTAGCCTATAATGACCGTTAAATGAGAGAACAGGTAGGCATAATTTTTTTTTTTAAAAAAAAAAAACCTTCGCGAAGGCATTTAGAATGTCTCATAAGCAGTGAAGAAAGAAAAAGTTATTCCCCTTTGTCCTTCTCCTTCCCTTGTCGGCAAACTGATGGCAGGAGCACCAAACGCCACAGAGATGATTCAGATTGCTAAAATAGTCAGCTAATTTTCACACTACAGCAAGCAGAAAAATGACTTAGATCTCATGTATTGCATCAAGCTTTCAGTTAAAAGAGAAAGGATGCCAGGTTCAAAGGCAAAGAGGAGAATTTGGAAGCTGAGAAAAAGACACAGAAAGTGAACACCCACCAAAAGTGGTAGCAACAGTTAGAACTCAGATAGAAAATTAGAGCTCCAAATCTACCATTAGTCATGTAATTCTTCTTGCACATCGAACTGTAAAGCTTTGTTAGCATCATGAATTTATATCCTCTCTAGCATGCACGGTCATTCGTAATCAAAAGTCGGTACTGGGTGGATTTATGATGTCAACAATGACTCAGATTTATGCTATCTGAAAAAAGATTCACCCATTTATTCTGCAACCATCTTCTGCAGCAACTCAAATCCATACTTTAAAACAAAAATCTATATTGAGACAAATTAACAACCCAAGTCCATGAGAGAATCAGTCCCCAAAAAAAAAGTCCATGAGCGAGAGATTGAGGCGATGGGAGGTAGGCTTGATGATGGCATGGAGAGTCGTGACTCTAGTTTGAGAGAGAGAGATCATTCTAGGTGGAGAAGAAGAAATTGAGCCAATGTGATTGGTTGGCCTACCAAAGAGGGAAGGAGAAGGACAAAAAGGGGGAATAAAGTTTTTTTAATTGCATATGTGGAATTCTGAATGCCTTTGTGGAAGTTTTTCTCAAAAAAATCATGCCTGTCTGTTCTCCAATTTTAATGAACGTCGGAAACTAGTTAGGGTTGGGAAAAATTGGACCAAATTTAAAACATGAAGGGTAAAATTGTCAATTGATTGGTTTGTCTTTACTCTTTTAACTATTTAAGGATTACTTATGGCTTCTTGTTAATACAACATGCCCAGTTAGTTTGCCAAAAAAACGATTGAGGGATGAGAAGTCGGTCTGTTTTTCATAATTGTCAATTGATTGGTTTGTTTTATCTCCAGTTTCTTGTGTCCATGTGCATGCTTGCCAATGACCCTGCTTAACTTATGTCCTTTTGTTTCATCATAAACAATTTCATGTTTGCATGTTTTCTCAGAGCTCTTTGGTGGCTGTTAGCTCTTTGATTTCATGAAATTAAGAGCCCATGGCAAGCCATCCTGGAAAAGCTACTCCTCCTAATGGGTCTGTGTATGTGTGCAACTTGCCTTATGGAACAGATGAAAATATGTTGGCTGAATATTTTGGCACCATTGGATTACTGAAGGTATGAAATTACCAAGTTAGTGCGGGTATGGTCACAGTTAATCTTCTGTCCTTGCAATTGGCATTATATATCTCAAACTCTTCCTAGATGTGAGTTGAGTCTGATGGAAGAAACTAAAATATTCACACAAGAGACTTCAATTTTATTTCTTCTTTCTTCAAATCAAAATATGCTGTTGGTAAGGCCAATATAGTTATAGTTTAGATCTCAGTGCAAGCAATGTTGTCAGGGCACAATATACTGTGGTGCGGCTATATTGAGGCTTCTTCTCATTTGAGGGGAAAAAAAAAAAGGGAATTGTATAAATACTGTTTGAAGAAATCGAGGATCAAGCAAATGTCCTGATGTTGGAATAATTGCTATCAGGTTTACAAGAAATTAATATTATCGCTTAGCTTAAAAAAGGACCAATGTTCTCCAAAATTGATGTAAGCACAGATGAACCACTACTATGGCACAGTATTGTGGTGCTTCGTCAACCTATGAAGTACAGACAATTCATGTCTGACATTTTACACGGCACAACACTACACGATGCTTTAAATTTTATTTAATTAGACACTTCTGATTTTGTTGTGTTGATTTCTGTAGTATCATATCTCATGTTTGTGTCAATATTCATGCTTTCTAGCCAATAACTTCTATGTAGTTAGTTACTTTATAAAATTCGGGTTTCATGAGAAGGGATCCTTTGCTAAACCACATGGAGAAATTTGGATTTTTGACCCTTCTAGTGACAACTAAAAGAGACTAAGGTAGTACGAGTAGTATGGACCACTTTATAGGGGTACTTAGGTGAGATGGTTCTCTCACCTATGTGCAGTTTTATAGGGGATGGTTCCCCTTATACTTAGGTACTTGTCACTTGGTGTCAAAATTAGCTGGTACCTTCAGAAAGGATTACTTGGGGGGGCTTTTGACCAGTGAGGAGGTCAAGTAAAGAGTCATTGAGTGTAGCTGTGCGATGTTGGCTCTCCAAGGGACTGTTGAATGATGAGTAGTTAGTAGTATGGCTTGTCTAGTCCCACATGGGATCCTAAGTGGATTGATTGCAATATGTGGCTTTTGGAGAGAGGTTTCTCACCCTACTTCGGCACCCGTCAATAACTGATTCCTTTAGTTAGGGGAGAATGAGGAGTACTGTGATGACAAGATTTATGGGGATTACAAGGAACTCTGGTTTTGGTTTTTTCAAATAATGATAAAGTTTGAAAGAGATGAAGAAAGATATTAGTTATTTGACAAATTAGAAATTACAGGTAAATTGTCTCTTCCTTTTTGCATATGGCATCACCATTCCCTTTGGCAACATCTACTGCTACTAATTTGGAAATAGGAAAAAGATTCTTTTTTTTTGGAGATAGAAGCATTTTGAAGCATATAGCAGTATGGAAGTGATTAGAAGTTATTGGGTTTGTGCATGCACGCACAGTCCTTATTAGTAGAATAGAAGTTGAATTCAATTTTATGATTTTATCACGATTAAGAGAATATCAATGATCTCTGACTTCTTCTTCCCTCTCCATTCTTTCCCTCCACTACTTGCCCTTTCCTTTCCGTTCTTCCCTTGTTCTCTCCATTCTCTCCCTCTTTGCATGTCTTCTGCAGTAACTGATTTCATATTTATCGTTGCCATCATCACCATCATCTCATTTTCTTCTCATTTCCATATTTCTCTTTTCTTTTCATATTTTTTCCTTCTCATTCTCACTTAAATTCCATCTGGTGGTTGGATTTGGTTTTCCATTTTCACCAGAAAGATAAACGTACAGGGAGACCAAAGATATGGTTGTATCGAGACAAAGAGACTAATGAACCAAAGGGAGATGCTACTGTGACATATGAGGATCCACATGCTGCTGTAGCTTCAGTTGAATGGTTTAACAACAAAGACTTTCATGGTAGTATTATTGGAGTTTATATAGCAGAATCAAAGAGCAAGGATGAGCAAGCATATAGTGCAGCTGGTGAACCAAATGTTGGTGGCCCCATTGGTGAACTGGAGGAAACTAACATGGATGTGAATGGAGGTGGTGGAAGAGGTAGAGGTCGAAGTGATTCTTCAGGCAAAGCGTGGCAACAAGAAGGCGATTGGTTGTGTCCGAATACAAGGTCTGTGATATGAGATTGGTGAGCAGCTCTTTCTTGCTCTTCTACTCACTGTTTCAGTAGTTATATATGATTCAATGCAGAAAGATTCATGTTGAATTTTTGAAGCAGTTGTTCCAATGTGAATTTTGCATTTCGTGGTGCATGCAATCGCTGTGGAAGCGCTCGCCCTGCTGGTGCTGCTGGTGCTGCAGGGGCTGGTGGCCGTGGTAGGGGACGTACTGGGCAGGATTCTGGGAGCGTTGGGCGTCCCGCTGGTGGAGGACTCTTTGGTCCTAATGATTGGCCTTGTCCTATGTATGACTGTGTACTCTGTTTCTTTTCTTTTCTTTTAATTTTCTGGTCTGATTTCTTTTTAATCGGTTTTATTTGAAACCAGCATTAATCCTGTGCATTTGCTGTGGGATTTCAAATATTTTTCCCTTAATGATTGTTTGGAAAAGTAAAAACAATTATGTCAATAGACAGTAAAATAACAGTGTTCTCCCATTTCACTTTTATTCAATATATATATTCTGGTGTACTTTTAAGTTTTGTTGCTTTGATGATAGCATATGAATACTTTACGTAACGGGATTTTGGTGTTATTCAGCTTAGGAGAAATGTAATCAGGCAATTTGAAGATGGGTGAATCAGTGTGAGATGAAGAGAGAGATCTGTATATCTGTATGAGACCCCTATGACCCATGTGTGTAATGAAGGCTCAAGCGTGACAATTTCTGGCACCATTGATGCCAACTCATTAGAACTCCTGCCTCTCTGTGCTACATGAGATAAAACATTCTGCTCAGTTATCCACTTTTATGTTATTTAACGTAGAAGAAACTGTAATCAAACGATTTGAAGATGGGTATAGAGGTGTGTGATGGAGATAGATATCTGCTTATATCCATATAAGATGCTGTGACCTATGTTTTCAAAGAAGTCTAAATCAGGAGTGATACTTTTTGGTGTCATTGATGCAGACACATTAGAACTTCCTTTTTGCGCTCCGTAAGATCGGTGCCTTTTTCTTTTTTTTCTATTCTTTTTTTTTTTTTTTAAATAATTGACTTTTAGCTCAGGGATTTTGATGACAGTTGGGGTAAGCATTATCAGTCATTCCTCTGTTTCTTCTGCGTTTCTTTGCGAGGTCTAGCTATTGAAATTCCGTTCTTTATTATCCCTGTCCTTGTGGCATTTCATCATGCACTGCCAATGTTTTTTAATTCCAACGAAAAATGTTTCCATATATGCGTCAGAGAGGATGAATTGGATTGTTTATTGCTTGTAAATAATGTGGGTGGTGGTTGATTTTATTAGACATATTAATATATTGATTGCTATAATAATTTGTGAGCTTAATATAATATTGCTTATTATTATGAGTTTCTTCTTTAGCTAAATATATTGTTGGAAGCTTGGTAAAACTTGGCATGTTTTAAGGTCGCTTATATCATCATACACTGATTTTGTACCTGTTGAGTGGATTTATGCCTCTTACACATATCTTAATTTTACTTTTCTTAAACTTGAATATTGACTCAAAGGACTTACATGTGCATATACTTCATCTGTATTCTTTGTTTTGTTAGGTGTGGCAATATCAACTGGGCAAAGCGAACTAAATGCAATATTTGCAATACAAATAAGCCAGGTCATAGTGAGGGTGGTGTAAGGTATTATCTATAATTCTTTTGGTATTTCTGTACTGCTAGCTAAGATCATATAGGTTTAAATCGTGATATCATTTGAGTAGGCCATTCCGTATGTTGTTTTGTGGTATTATACTCAATATATTGGGAAAGGGATTTAATAGCAACATAAAATGGTGATTCTGAATCTCCATGAAATGCGCATTTCTCTAGAAATTTTTGTTAGACCATTTGATAATCTTTACCTGCTGTTGGAATTCCTTGACCTGCTCGTGTTTCTGTGCTTGACAGAAGGATTTGGTTTCAGGTCGAACTGCACATTTTCTTCCTTTATCAGAGTGTTTCTGTAAAGGATCCTTCCAAGTTAAAGGTTTTTGTTTGGTCGATGATAATAATAGAATTAATATGAATGAT